GCAAGCATTAGAAATGGCAAAACTGAATAAAAAATGACACTTGAAAGTTAGAAATGTTAGGTTGGTTTTATCTATCTTGTTTCTGCACCACTAGAAATCACACTTAAGTATTTTTCATACTTGTACATGTGAAAGCATGCACAAATTTGCACAAAGGTACAAAGATGCAGAGTCCAGGTACAAATCCTGTGGTGACTGACGGCTCTTCTGTAAACATACACTTCTGAACGGATGCATGTAGTATCATTCTCTGTGTTTGTACAACATGAAAAAGTAGTTGTAGGATAAATGATTAATTCACTTCAGACATAACACTTTTCATGCTTCATCTACAGTGAGGTTGATGTATTTTGCTTTACAATCTGGCTGCATCCTAAATGCTCTTACAAATTTCTGAAATGGGCTTTTCAACAAGTAAGTCTTTCCTGGGAGTACCAGCAAGACCTTAATGCGTCTTAATCAACCCAATGGTGTGTCTAGTCTGAAATAACTGCATCACCAGCTTGTTGGCTTAAGGAAACAGTATTAATAAGCTACATATGAATGCAGGAACAGAAAATTCTTAACAATGAAAGCAAATATCTCTTGTTTAATAAATTGGGTATTGGGTTCATGGTCAAAAAGGACTTAAGGATACTGGCAATACATACTAATTTGAAACTTAAATGAGCAGAACACATTACAAAGAGAATTGATTGTCCAAAGTTGGAACTGATCTGTTAGATAATGGCAAAATAGTAAAACTAAACCATAGGTACTAAAATGGCTAGTCTAGTGAAAGAGAGCTTGAGGAATACAATAGTGATATGAATTGCTGTAGTATTACATTAGTGAAGTAAGTCTGTGGTTATGTATATTCTAGTTAAATTATTTCTATTATGACACGGGGTTTAGCTGCAGAGGATATAGAAGGATCATCAAAAAGCGTCTTCAGAATATCTGATTAGATTGAAGCACGTCATTTGCCTTCGGGCATTACAGCAGTCTATAGTTTTGCTTGTGGAATTTCATGTACAAGTGTGTGCACCATGTGTTTTCTGTTGTATTGAGAATAAATTCTTTTGCCCATGGAAAAATATTTCCTGCTTACTTTAACTGATAGAATGAAATTCTTGCTGAATCTGTAATGATGGGGGTCTGTCTCTAATCTACAAAAATTAATTTCTAGTTTAAGGTAGAATATTGTCTTCTATTTTGTGATTGCATTTGTTATTTAGCTACCTGATGCAGACCGTAAGCATGTTAATCAGAGAAATCTGGATTCCCACATATGATCTTTTTGGATCGTAAGTCAAGAGAACTCTGTCTGACTTTCACCTCTCAAGAAGGATATTTGTCCACTTCATGAAACCGCCATAAAATTCAGAAAATCAGCGGTGGAATAGCAGTGGGTTTAGAAAAAGCTGAGTTTAGGGATCAGGACTGGAACAGGGGCCTTGGTTTATGCCTTATTGGCAGAGTTGCATGATGTTTTAGGCTGAGGTACCTATAGGTGCTGGAGGGTAGTATCTCGTAAAGATGACTGGGTTGTATGGGCAGTGCCTGCTTGTTAGTATAGCTGGTTTTAGCTGTAGCTTTTCACTTTAAAAATCAGATTCTTAGTGCAAATTGATGACAGATCACTAGAGTGAGAGGAGATGCACTTACACATTCTCGCTGGAGAATGTGGCCCAGACTGCTCCATGGAAACAAAAGAGAGGAGAAGCAGAAGCCGTTTTAGTTTTTGCTTTAAAATCTATTCTGTATGCTTGAAATGGAAATATGCCCATTTAGATTTCTCATTTATTTATCGCTAGCGAAGTATTTTTCAGTGGAATTGCATACACTTCCTCCTCCTTTGCCCTGAATGCCGGTGCCCTGTAAAAGACAACCTCTGGTACCTGTCTGTAAACCCTTCATTGTCACCGCTGCTGTAGAATCCGCCTAGATGATGTCTTGACCTTGTTTACCAGCTTTGGCTATTTAAGATGGCAGCCACTTCAGCGCGAATGTCAGGAATCCCTCTAATGCAGTAGGCCTCCCGTTCTAAATTTACTCTCCTTATGGTTTATGGTCCCTCCTCTGTGGCTGCAGCAAGAGGCCCCCTTTTTATGACTCACCCCTCCTGCCCCCCTTCGCTCCCCCCCTTCCTCCCTCCCTCCCGCAGATGGTAACCCTTTGTGCACGTCGCCTGTTTGAAAGAAGTGCTCGCTGGGTGTCTAGCAGATTGGCTGCCACAATGTGCTCTTTTGTTGCTGCTAGGTAAGATCAAATTCAAATGAAATCCTGTAATTCAAATTAGGTTAAAAGGCTGTCCTCGGAACTTCGCAATTTTGGTATCCCAAGATGCTGATAGGGGCCTCAGACTGAAGCACTCACAGGAGAGTAGCGCTGCTTTTCTTTTAAAGTGAAGTTAACAAATTATTTTGCATTGGATTTTGGAACCTTTATAACATCCTGTTAGACAGCAATAATCATTGTTGTAGTCAAACCATAGCAATAGTTATGGTTAGACTTTGTTGAGGGTGTTTTTTTGTTTGTTTCTGTATATAAAAAAAGCATAAAAGGGACATATACAGGAGGGCAAATATAATTTCTTCACTTTGTACTGGGGAAAACGGGGAAACACGTTAGTTAACGTAAAAAAAATTTCAAACCAGTGATTTTTCTCCTGCCTATGGCAGCTGAACAGTATTAGTGGTATGTGCATGTGTGTGCAAGTTTTGGGGGGATGTTCACAAAAGCAAGCCTTAGCACAACTGACTTCTTGAGGACACTCCAGGGTACCTAAAGTTAGGCTTCTGCTCCCTGTTGTCCCTAAAGGAACCTCGCTCGCTCTCTCTCCCCTGCCTCCCTTATATACAGAAGCCGGGACAGATTTGTTTTCTTCATGAAAAATTTTTTGATTTCCCCTTTATTGGAATATGTGCTCCTAACTCACTTGGGCGTTTTCAGAGTATTACACAGGAAAGACAAGTTAACTGGAAGTCTAAAAGTGTTTTTTAGAGACGAAAATTACTTCCATGGAAACCTGTATTAACGGAAAGTTGATCAGAAGTTTTCTGTAATGCCTCATTATTTAGTCTGTGACATTATTTCATCCTTCAAATGGTCACTGTTACCTTAGAATACAAGCATATTATGTACCAGAAAGTTACTGTAACTTTGAAGGTACTAGTTGTTTTGTTCAGTGAGCAGAAAACATGATTGTGTTAAGTTGCTTTGGCTTAACAATGGCAGGAGGTAGCCTTCTAAGCAGCATCTCATGAATAGTATTTATTAGCATGGCCAATATTTTTCTTTGTGCTAAACTTAAGTCTTACATGCTGCTCTTTTGCAAAGAATTAATTTACTGGTAAATTTACTTCAGTGTTTAATAATAATCTTTAATTTCTTTCCCTTATATGGCTTCTTTGCTCGATGGTGTTACACAGCACACCGGGGAAGGCCGCTGCAAAAGAAAACTTTAACCACTAAGTACTGGCTGGGATTTTATTATGTGACTCAACTTGCCAGTGTTGCAATGCTGTTTTCTCTCCCATTTTGTCACATACAAACCTACTATGAAAACCATTTACAGAGTAGCTTCTGTTCAGCATTCTGAATACATAGCTTTGCTGTCAAGCCTCAGGATGTAAGCTGATTGCCTGCAAAGGGCAGGAAAACAGTGTTTAAAGCATTTTAAGCAGTGCTGGGTGGTGGTGAATTATCAGTTGTAGTCTCTCACCCTTTTGCTGAGGAATCAGATACTGATCGCTGCCGGAGGGAGGGTGGTGGGACTGTGGGTGAATAGTCTGACCTGGTACTGCAAATCCCATGCTCCTACTTTTACATGGAATGGTAGCATTTTCAATATAGTACTTTTATGATTCATCTTTTCTGAATCTTAATATAGGCAGTTCTTGCAATGGCCCTCCTAAGACTGTTCATTGTTTCAGCTGTTTACTTTGCCCTTACTATCAGTGCAGTTATTTCACATAAAACTTGGGTCATAGGAGCTGCCACAGGAGAGGAAACCATGATTAAAAACAGAGGATTCAGAAATAAGATTCCAACTATAGCAGTTTGGTAGAAGATTTTGTCTTCAGTTTGGGCTTACAAGAGTTGCAGGTGTAGCTTGTTGATTGAAAGCCCCTTAAATTGAAACTATTTCCTTCCTGTGATAGAAGACTGGCAGAATGCTGTTTGGATTGCTAACCCATTTCTTCCGATGTTCTTTATCTTGAGCTGGTGATGAGCCACCAGTCAGTCTGTTTTGTATTTTCTGTATCAGAAAGAGGTTGCTTGGTTCCTCACGAGCACAGAGTTGGACTTTGCATCTAGGTAACAGGCATCAGATGTATGTAATTTTTCTTTGCATGCCCTTAACAAATACTTTGCATGAATACCCTTCAGCATTGAGTCACGTGGATTAAAAGTTACATTGCATAAAAGATGATGGTTGCTATTTTGGGAGCTCTTATGCAGGTAAATATTTTAATATTTTTTTGACGTTGTTTCATTGTTGTGAAAGTGCCCAATTGAAGTTACACAAAAAAAAAGAAAGAGAAAACTAATGATATACAACGGATCATGGACTGACCCATAAAGGGGCAGTCTTCCAGGCAAGAGTGGAAGCTTTTGGATTATTTTGCTGGTTCTGGAAGCTTTGGAATTCTTTTCCTGTTATATTTTTGGACAGTACTAAAACTCAGGCTGTGTTTTGAAGAAGTTTTTTTGCTCTTCTAGCTTCAAAGCAGTTTGCTTACACCTGAGACTGTGCTTGTTGAATTCAAAGGAGACAAATGTGATTTGATGCTGTCATGGTTCTACTTTGTAAAATTGCATGTCAAGAGGTAAATAACATATAGATAGGTTTTTACCAGCCTTACTATTTTAGACTAGGATTATACAACAGGCTCTAACGGGAACAATAAGGGCCCAGCTACACCAAGCAGCTGCTGGGGAAACTGAGGTTTTAAACTCATGTTTCTTAGTTCATTTAAAAAGTAAAAATATCTTGTGTTTTATTTTAACTACAGGTTGCCTTTACTTGGTAGATACGTTAGCAGGAGATCCAGAGGTTCTGCAAGTAGATGCTGAAACATACTATGAAAAACTCTTGAAGAAATCATCGTCTGCTCCTGATGTTTTTTCGATCCCTGGTGGAGAAGAGGTAGTAGGCTGATGTTTTTTGTACTGCAAGTTAGATACTTGCAAACTAGTTTGTTGGTTGTGCTCGTGGCCTGTCTGTGAATAGGGGTAAACTGGTGTGGCCAGAATACAAATCTCTTAAAATCAGCAAACTCTGCATTATTTCAAATAGTTTGCATGCTGCAAATGAGAGATAAGCTTAAACCACAAGTCTAAAACCCTCTGAGTGTGGATGAGGGTTTGAAGTACTTAGCTGAACTTTGCATCTTGACCTGCCTCCTTACAGGCCTGAATCAAAAGTGAATTTGATAGATGTTTATACCACGGCACAGCTCTGTGTTCTGCCTCTACTGTGCAGTTTACACAGTATTGAGATATAGTCTGTCTTTTGTTTCCGTTCTTTCCAATACTTATATTGATAATTTTGAATATGGATTCTCCCAGAGGAATTCTGATCAGATGTGATTGATAGATGGTATAAATACTGTAGGTGACAATGCTTTAGGGTCCAATCCTGAGCCACCTGGGGGGAATGCATTGGAGATGACTGAGCAGGCCTATTAAAAATTCTGACTTCAGTCAACCTGTGAAACCTTTCATTCTGGGCATTTTCTGGATCATAAAAGCTGTGCTGGACTAACTGTTATTCTACTATCAAACCGGGTAAGCGGATTAGTTGAAATAAATGTTTGGAATACGGTGGCTTTTCTATAATTTAGGAAAATAATATGCAGTAGTTTCCAGAAAAATGCTGTTTCAGGTGGGTAGCTTCATCTTTGAGCCGTGAATGTAACTAGCTTTCAATACTCTTTGAATGCCCTCTAGTGGACCATGCAAGGTTAAATACAAACAAACCCGAAAATGCAAGGCTCCCCCAGTTTAGAGCTTCTGTTACCTCAGCCTTTCATGCCTGGTTGTACTTTTAGAGGCTCATTTGCTGTTCCATTAGAAGGGAGGATAAGTTAAAATCCCAAGCAGTGCTGTGTGTGTATTCCTGTGATAGCTAGACACAGTGAGATCAGTTAAAGGTGGACTTCTGGCTTTTGATTCAGAACTGTCTTGATTTTATGGCTTGTCATCAGACCTTAAATATGTCACATGACTGATTTGAGTCTCATAGCAACACATTTCTCTTTGCATTCATTTAATTCAGGTCTAATCTAATCTGCAGTCAGACAGCTAGTCAAGGGCATAAGTAATGGTAACGTTCTCACTGTATTGGTTTTTTTTCCTTATACTCTAAAATAAATAGCTCAAAGAATGTTGATATTTTGTAATTAAAAATAAATTAAATGTAATAAGATAAAGCTCCCATCCCCAGTGAACATCTCAGGTAACAATCTCTGTTATATACCTACAACCTGAAGGATGAGGATTTTGGTGTTTGAATAATGGCTGCAGTTACCAGGCTTTTTTTTTTCCTCTGTGCATCGGAATTAAAGCAGGTTTCAAGTGGCAGCACCGGCAACCATGAATAATTATTTAGCAAGTGTTAAGTGGCTGTCAGCCCACTTGCTCGGGTCACAGGGCTTCTTTTTGGTATGGTATGGTCTTTGGTCAAGCATTCAGTACACAAATAGCAAGGATTATTGCAAGTCAGGATGGAAGCACATTGGCAGCATTCATACACAGAAAGCTATGCTTGGCTTATGCTGATATTGTTAGCACCTGTGAAAGTGCACATTACCTTATAAAACAAAATAACAATCATAGCAGTATGGGAAATAGTACTGGCCTTTTCACTATAGTAACGCTCCCAGGTGCCATAATGACACCGATGCTGTTATATTTGAAGCATGCAAAGAACGACTGAATCCCCAAAACATAGTGAGATTTTGGGAAGCTCATGAATACAGATTTCAGGCAGTTTTCATTTTTTTGCCTGGAGTCCAGTGTTTGCATAGATGATCCCAGGATTCTGGCACTCATAAGCTAGTGAACGCTGGTTTCAACTTAAAGTTGTTATCTTGAATAATCCATATTCATACTACTCCTTCCATGCACCAAGAAATATTAAATGTATCACATGACTGATTTGAGTTTCATAGCAAACTGACAAATGGGTGCAATTAGAGAGAGAGGCACACCCACACATACACAATGGACCAGATTTTTGAAAGTACAGTACATACTGTGCTAAATTATGCACGCTCTTTGCCTGTACCTAAACTTACATGAGAGCATTTGCAATATTCATATGGAAATCGTCATCTCTATGCATATAGAGCTGTTTGAGCACAGTAATTTTGTGTTTATGTGTCACATCATTTAGAAGTTTGGTCTAAGACTGAGAGCTTGAGAGCTGCATTTTGATTTTAGCTTTGCCTTCAACATAACCACCTTGTGCCAATTATCTACCCTCCCTGTGTCTCACAGATAAACTGCCCAGTCACTGCCCTAATGCTTTGATACTCCCTGTACCCTGAGGCTTAATTCATTGTTTGCAAAACACCACAAGTACTCAGCTGGACAGTGCTGTAAGAAGTGCAAGTTGTATTTGTTTTTATTTGCTGTGTCTGATCTTTCATAACACCATTTGTCTGCATGTAACAGTGTTCAAAGCCAGATTATGTACTAATAGTCAGTTGGCATTAAGGTCTTCACTAACTTCGGTAGCTGGATTTCTTTTAAATTAACATTACTTACTGATAATATTAGAATGTCATGTACGTTTCAGTGCCTTGAAGTTCAGGATTGAGAAGGTGTTGTGCTAAGCTTATGCCATGCATGTTAGTAAAACATATCCTAAGTGCATCTAATACATGAAATACTTCTTGTGAGCTTTGCAGTACAAACAGCTACAGGGCTTGTTTGTTTTTTAGGTTAAACTTGAAGATTCCTGCGTGTGTTTTGTCCCTCTCTACCGAAATAATCCTACTTGCAAAATGTTGCTGTTAACTGATCCAAAGGATAAAGAGACAGGTTAGAATTGGTCAAAATATTTTGAAATTTGAGTAGTTGTACTTTCTTTTCTTTTTAAGATGGTCTGCTTGTTTATATATTTAAATATTTTGGGTTTTGTTTTGAATATGAAGAGGATTCAGTTTACCTGTCAGGGATTTGTGTCGGTGGGCTACTGATTAGAAGGGAGGATTGACAGTCAGGGCTTTTAAATTCTATGCATAGCTCTGCTGGTAGCTGAAAAATTACCTTGGGTAAATCTGTTATTCTGTCTGAGTTTGTTCAGTGGGGTAATATTTTTCTAATTGAGGACAATGTGAAATTTAATGCATTATCGTTTGGATAGAATTCTGAAATCCTTAAGAGGAAATATATATGTGAAATTGTATTAGGTCTTACTAATTCTTATTCATATTATTTTTACTTTATGTTATCGTCTTCAGTCCTAGGTTTAATTGCCTTCTATTTCCAGTACTGGTGTGTGAGGGGTAAATTTGGAGTGAGACCATGCTCAGTAATTAAGTTAAATCCATTTTATTCTTTAAATAAAGATATTCTTTAAACTCTACCAGCTTTGCCTTGCTTACTGCTAGAAATGCCCGTGTTTTCCTATTACAGCCATGTGTCAGCCTGACAGGGATACACTACAGTTGTGTTACAGGGATACACTACAGTTGTTTTACAGGCAGTAGAAGTCAGCATGTGCTTACTGGTGTTTCTGTTTCATGAGTCACTGCTTAGAGTACTTACAGGTTATTAAGATTTGATCAATAATTGTATCTAAGTTTTATCTTCCTGCTGTCAGGATTGCAGTATCTTCAGACACAGCCTGATTTCTTCCTCCTTAATCTCTTAGACAAGTGTCTTTGACTATGAAATGTGAAAAAATGCAAATGTAAAATAAGTAACAACTCTTGATACCACTGTCATTAACGGGAAACTTGACTCCAAGTTGCATAGTACCAAAAGCCCAGGTTGCAACCCACCTAGATTAAAGGAGAATTGTTGGAGTTGTTGTGAAGCAATGGGCTATAGAATTTTTGGAACATCTACAACAAAGGCTTGAACCCGTGCATTGACCCATTGTGTCACTTAGGGAATGCAGAACACATGAAACCTCTTAAACTGTCAGCTTCCAAATGTGGCAGCAAACTAATGACATCTGTCATTAAGAACATACTTTTTTTTTTTTTTGGAAAGGATAAGCTATAAATTACGCCTGAAAGACGTTAATAGCCGGTATTCTTAATAATACAACAAAGGTAAGGCAAAGAAGTTTAGCACTCTATGTCCAGTTCTCAGGTGTGTCAGGTAATGATCCTACACTCCTAGGACAGGTGCTGTTAGTGTAACTAAGTGTTCATTGTTCAGTCCAAACTCTGTAACCAGGAAATTTCTTCATAAGAACAAAGACCAGATTAAAATCATCTGTGGTTAGAGGTGAACTCTGCAAAGTTTTCCAGCTTCTTTTACATACGATTTCAGCTGGACGTTTGCTAATGGGTTGTGATTCACATAGTTGAAGGTAGGAGAGCATTCCAAGTTACAAGTGTAGTCAAAAGACTTTCTGGTCCCTCTAAAACTATTGATATAGAGTTACTTTCCTGACATTAATTTATATATTACATTAACATTTTTCTGAAGAGAGATAGGCACTGGTGTGATAAAGGAGAGAAGTCTCTACACTGCAGGCCAAACTTGCTCTATGAGTGTAGTTGTGCATACCTACTGACTCATGTTCAAAGGAATGTAGTTGTAACAGCATTCAGTTAGTTTAGGTTGCACAAGAGGAGTGGGGATCTGTAACAACTACAATGCAAAAATAAAGAATTATTAAATAAATGCATTTAGCACAAATCTTCAGTTAAATGATTTAATAGTATTAGGAACAGCAAGTATTAATGAGATACATGTACACAAGGAAAAAATAATTTCCCACAGGAACAAGTCAAACAAGTCCACATTGGAGCCTAAATTGTATGATAGCTATCTACATTAAAAGCTGAAACCTAGCAGAACAAACACCTTATTATATTATAGAGAACAGACTGACTGACTACTGTAACCCCCTTGCAAAACTTTAGCTTGAGTCACAAGCCCATAGTCACAGAAACAGTCTCACAGAGATCAGTAAGTCAAGTTATTTAAGTAAGGCCTACATCATCTGGCTTTTAATATTTCCTTTTAAAAGTATGATTTAAAGGATTTTACTGGAAGTTCTTTGTTTCTGGGTTTTATATGCTATAAACATGTGGCCAGCCTTCCTACACACATCAAATTTGACTGACGTGATTTTTTTCTTTAGATGAGTTTTAATAAATTTTCATTAGTTCTCTAAAGTCTGCTGGGATGTGCGTATACGTGTGTGCATACCTATACATATGGGTATATACATTTGAAGTATTTTGTCCAAATATTTTTCCCACAGTTCAACAGATTTGGAATTGACTCTTAAGGCAGCAGACTGTGTTAATGCGGCAAGTCCATCTGGATTTGCTTACCTGTATGACCTTTTGTTCTGACCAGTGAACAGATCAAATTGTTTCAAAACCAATTCCTTCAGAGAAAAGCAATATTTATTAACTCATTGTTACTTAAGGACATGGGCAGAAAGTTAAAACACTAAACAGGTTGCATGATTTTTTTCCTCCCTTGAGCTTTACACTTGTCTTGTGAACTCAAGTTTCATCCAGATGGGAGAGGCAAACAATCTTGCTGTAGTTGATCTCTTCTCTTTCTCATGTGCTGTCCAATCCATCTGTATTTTTGTTTTACTTCACACCAGGAGTGCTTTTAGAAGCAAATTTCCTGATTGTCCTCATGTACTGTGCTTCAGTTCATATCAAGGAGCAGTCTCGGAGTGCGTGAACTGGATTACTTTTGGCTGAAATGAAATTAGAGGATGCACTCCAGAAGCACACTGATGTGCCCCAACCTCTAACAGGCTTTTAGTTTTCAGCACCAGGCTAGAATTTGTGAACATCAGGTTCTCTGCACCAAATGTTTTGCTCTGTGAATTCAGTTTTGTTAGTGTTAGTCTTGCTAATGCAAACACGGCCCACTGATGTTTCCTCTCCCAATTCATTTGGACATTTCTGAAGTCCAATGGGGGAAGGCAGCCAAGGGTGTCCCAGGATACGCTGGGGTAGAGGTGCTTTTCTGATAAGCAACTGGAAACAGAGTAGAAGATGCAGCTAGTAAGTGTGCAGGGCATGTTTAGTTGTGTACTTCTCAGGTCCTGGTGTGGATAGTGAATCAGCAAGAAGCGTTAGAATCCTCATTGCTTGGTTCTGCCACAGCGCACATGATGCTCTGAGACCATATCATTGCTCCTGAAAGCCACAACCTTCCTCTGCTCCGGTGGTTCTGGTGACTGCCAAAACCCTGGCTAGAGCCTTCAATTTAATTCTCTTCTCCAGCTCTGTCCCTGACACCATCAGTTCCTTCAGCTTTGCTCCAACTTCTCCACCTTTGCTCCTGGTGGCTCCTCAACATCCCTCACCCCCTAAAACGAATTCTGTACAAAGCCTTGACAATTGCTGGGGCTATCCACGCTCCTGGGCAGTACCTTAATCTCAGTGAGAGAGCTGTATACCTTGTGTGTCTTATGTTCATATGTGATGGGATTTCCTCTTTCAGCTTCATTTTTGTTTACTTCTATAGTGGTTAAGTATTGCATAGATAAAATGGTGTATATGATACTTATGAAATAATATCCACTGTAGTATACTTATTTTCCCACAGTTCCCAAAGAAAATATTGTCAATCTAATAATTTATGTTTGAAATTCTAACAGTTAAGACTCGGAGAAATACTGAATTTAGCAGCCTAGCTACAAGTTTGCCTGTGAAGAGCTTTAAAGTTTGGTGGCATTTAATTCTTGAACCTAGGTTAAAGGGGGATTGATTCCAACACTGAGATTTATATCTGAGCATCTTGATCAGGTGGGTTGCCCAGAAGTGATGCGTAGCTTGTGGTCTGAAATGACCTGCATATTTCAAAGAGAAAATGGATATGGTAGCTTTTCCATAGGACTTGGTCTTGGTTGGGAGCATTTTTAATTTATTTTTGATGGGCTGAGTGTTCTGTTCTGTTAGTATATCTGTACAGATACTTTTATGAGAATGTAAATTGTGTTGTAAGGGCTTACAGAGCATAGCATGGGTGATTAACATCTTTATAACACTAAATAAACATACCATATTGTGGCATTTTCTGTATGCTGTATATAATAATTTACAATAACTGTTAGACGCCATGGAACATTTATCACAAGACATTTGCAACAAATCACTGAGTAAAACTCAAATTGTAGAAGAAAATGTAATTGGTTGCAGGAAAGATATCTATCTTAGATACTTGAATGGCTGCCATTACTGTAGCATCTGCATGCAGCCCAAGTTTTTGTGCATTTATTTCGATAAGACTCTTAGGGGAGAGAGAGAGAAATGCTCTTATTCCATTTTAAAGCTAGGGAACTGGGGGACACAGCTATTCAGGGTATGTCGGCATTGCAGAACGCAGTTTAATGTAGGATCTCTGAGCTTGCTCCATTCTCGGAGCTGACCTAGGCTCGGTTGCATGGAACTACTTGTTGGGGTAATTTACCATTCTCCTTCCAAGGTGGAAATCTGGCAAAAGCAGCCTCTCTAACTGTGCAATCCATCTGAAATACTGCCAAAATTAAGGTAAAGATGACTTTATCTAAGGTAAAGATGACTTTATCTAAGGTAAAGAAGTGGTACATTCTATATTTATTAAACAAACTCAAATTACATGTCTCACATATAGCGTTGCCTTTCATTTAGTTTATGACTGAGGGACGCGTTTCAGCAATTCAGATGAAGGCTGGGGAAAAAGAAGTACCAAGCTGGATGTTGCTTTAATTTTTCTGCTTTACTCTGTGTGTAGAGTCCTGATGTGCACATTTCATTCAAATAGTTGCACACCAGTGTGGGAACGTTTGGCCAGCACAGCCTAGAAAGTAAAAATATAATCCAGACCTGGGTTGGGAAGGGATCCATGTTTGCCTAGCAAAAGGAGACATTTCATAATCACAATTGCATTATGCTTAGTGCCTAATTCAACTCAGTGTTTTGCAGTACTGTATTCCAAATACCCGTAGTGGTATGGAATCGTGTGCTTCACAGGCTCTCAGCTTCTTGCAACACTCTGAATATGTTTGTCTGACTGCAAGTGATGAAAGCACTGAGGTTTAGCAAGCTAGTGCTTACAGGGCAAGCCACCCAACTGAGCATGTATATACTCCATTAATTGTGAACTGAAATCTGTTGGACTTAATCCATTTCACCTAGTCTTGCGATTGCAAGATCAAGCACATCAAGTCTTGCAATTGCAAGATCTTTGTAATCACGTACATCACGATTCACGGGGTTCAGGTGATGTGTGTAACTTACTGTCGACAATAACGTGATCTCTGATGAGCAGGTGAACGTAACTGTCTTGGAAAGAATAACAAGGCTGGGAAAGGAGACTGAAGGAGCATGTGGTCTCACAAAACATGTTCGCATTTGAAACAGTGTTCCTCAAAGTTGATTATAAAATGAAAATGAGAATATGGGGAAGCATGGATGGATTTAACTGCAGACCAGATGTTGACTTGAAAAATTATAAGAAAAAGCGAAGTACATATGTTTGTGTGAAATCTGGAGAAATGTTTTTCCTTCAAGGAAGGCATCCATATAGATAAGGTTGCTTAAGTAATGTGATGTGACAGTTGCTATGTCAACTAGTGTTCCCTTCCACACATTTAAATTATTGAATAGCACAGTAAATGTTCTATAAAAGTAGTTCCTTAGAACATGGTCATGCATCTTCCTATTTTCCTCAAAGATTTTTAAAACTTTTCTGACCTTTACTATGTGTGGTGTATGTGTCTGAACTATGTGCCAAACCTCTGCGCAGCTCCCATTAAAATCAGCATTTGGCCCATTATGTCCCCTTTGCCTGACTCAGCTGCCTTTGTAGCTGCATGTTTCATGGATGCGTAATGGAGCAGTGGCTGCTCGCATTTGAAAGCAGAGTGAAGGGACTGAGGGAACAGATTGAATCCATCACAGAAAGAGTATGAAACTCCCATGCAAGTAAGTGCATAATATTTAATGAACTGAATCTGGTGCAGTAAACAGGCATCTGCCCTTGCGTGCAATACTTTCTTCATTGTTAACCCGGTACACAAAGTCTAACGCTTTTTGGCACATGCTTTAATAATTTATTTGAAATATAAGTTAGCTAAGTGGAATCTCCAGCCTTAAAGCCAGTGGGAGCTGGTAGAGGCTGAAGCAAAAAGGGAAACTAACCTGTGCGCATCAGCGACTTTTGTATAACCTGAGGCTAAAACCGGTAAATGATGAATCCTGTCAAAGCCATTTCTCTTCCTTGTGTGTGAATTTGTCTCTAACTTGTAGATGGATTTAAACTTTCCTATGTTTGTCCCTAGTTGGGTAGCTTAGAAAACCAGTAGACAGTGCACTCTCTTAGGACTCAAGGTGTGAACTCCATGCTGTTCTTGCAACATACTTCCTATGTTACATTTTATCTTTTTGTCTAAAAATGAAGATGCTAGCGGCCCTATTTGAAGATAGTAAAGGTATTGGTGTTCTTGAGCACTCCTGAAATTGTGACCATGTACTTTCTTTAGGTGGATGTCACCACTGTACGGATAATAAAAGTTCTTTTTGCTGAAATGTTTGCAGCTTGATGTGTTGGTGGTCATAAATGATCAAATTTCTGTGTTTATTCTGAAACCTAATCTAAACCCTTAAAATTTATTCTATATCCTTTGAAATGACCCTGCGTCAAAACTTCTCTTTCTGAACAAGGCTTGGGAGCAATTTCAGTGTCACTGTTGTTGCTTCAGTCTTTCTCTTGTAAATCTAACGGCAGGCAATGAATTCTGTAGATGAACATGTAGGAGTAGGGTTTAAATACTTGTTTCTGCATACGTGAAAAATTCAGGAAGGATGGGAAGAAGTAGGGTGCAAGTTTTGCATAGCACCTACACAAGGACCTGACTTATGTGTAGGTTGGTCATACACTTCTGCTTCAGGGCAAAGTGTATCATATTTATGTGTGCATACGTCTGTCCTTTGTTGATAGAAACCTCTCTGTATGCATTTGAACTTCCATGAATATCTGTCTGTGCAGAGATTTAGGAGTCTGTATTCTAAAGGTACAGATATATAGAAATTCAATCACATAGGCAGCTGAAAAGCTATTTGATAAAGCAGACATGAAAACTTTTGTGTTTGACTTCCATGGGTGCAAATGCAGGCCTGTATGCATGTGGGCAGGGGAAAGTCTGAAAGAAACTTCAAAAATGTAACCTTTAGCTAGGTAGCACTCTCTGTCCCAAATGCCACTCAAGCTTACTGTGCTACTGAACTATTATGCAGGAAGCACTTTATTCATGTGGCACACAGGTTGTCACACCAAAGTCACATCAATTCCTGAGAAAAATTACCTTCACTCGATGCCTCGTGTGGTACTGAAAATTGGATATCAGGGGACACGGAGGTGAAATTTATTTCAATTGTTGTTCTGCTGTCTCACAGCAGATCAAACTGGGGTCAGTTGGAGGGAGAAGTAGATCTGAGGCTGCTTGTGGAAAGGTTCAGAACCAACTTTGTATTTATTTGCAGGTGATGTGTTCTCCTGTCTTTTTCTTTTTGTAGTTTTGGCAGTTTATTTGAACCACTGTTGGTGGCCTGTTGAAGATGTAGTGAAGACGGCTGATCCTTCTAGAGATGGGCTAATTTCGGTAAGGATGCTGTTTTAAACAGTTGCCTTTACCCTGGAACTTTCCAGCTAGAACGATCATGTGTAATTGTCTCTGGTCTCCTATAGCTCGTGCTTTATCACCTGTGGGATCTGGGCTATGTGGCTTACCAAGTACTTCACATGTCTCCCATTGCACAGTGACATGCGCATTAACCCTCTCTAAAAAATTTTGTGCGTGCAGTTTATGTTTCACCTGTGGGATTTATTAGTTTTTGGGTTTAGTTTACCCTCACTGCCTATTAAAGAAATAATCAGATAAACCGAATTACTACATTAGCAATAACTCGTCACGGTACAGTGTTGCTTGACTGGCTGTGTGATGGGAGGTGTTAACTAACCTTTGGAACAACGTCTTATCTAGTTAGTTATGATTTTTTTTGCCTTGAATAATGTTTATATTGTGTTCATTTTATGAAATGGTTGTTTATTGAATAATTTCTATATCTGTAATTCTTTTTCCAAATAAATTATCTTAGTAGGATACAACTAGTTTTTCATAATTTGAGAGATTTGGGTAGCCTGTAGCCTATTTTCAACTAAGAATTCAGATGCCTACTGCATGTGAGCTTTGTGTCGCCATGAGGCTATTAAGTCAGTTCTGTTTCCTACCCAGCCCTCTGTGTCCTGCTTTGGTCCTTAATGATTCTGTTCCTTTATCATCTTTCCC